TTTGTGCTCGATCTCCTTATAATTAAAAAAAAAAAGATAAAGAAACGCGCCATCTATTAAATAAATTGTGTTATCCTTTAGAAGAATTAATACTTGAAGAGTAGCAGACAATCTCTTCAATTTACGGGATTTTAGCATAGATCATTAAATCTACGTTTGGTTATTATAATACCTTGTTAAGTTTTATAGATTGATTATATGAAATAAAAAAACAAAACACCGTTTTGAAGTACGACACCACAATGGATCTCTGCAATGTGATTCAAAACTGAGAACATTAGTTTATGGTGCGTTATTATTCTATATGTTTGTCATTTTCCTAAGTAAGATATGTAGGAAACATGCCAGACAGCCACAAAATACTAACACGCTAACGTAAATACACACACGTAGGCCACAAATTAGTGTTCAGTGAAAGAAAGCACTAGTTGCATGACTTCCAGTTCTTTCCTTTATATAAGTATTGATACTTATCAAGAAAGCTTGTTTAAATTCTTTTTTTTTTAGTTTTCAATGTGAAATTTCAGATTGATTTTTCGATACTACTTTTTTTCTTCTGGTTTAACATTGGTTAAAGCACTTATTTACAACTTCGGGTCTTCACTCTTTTTTGGCGCTGTGATACATGTTTTTAAGGATATTGTAAATCGAAATTCTCGTTTGATCGCGCCTTTTTTCTTTAAACTTTGTTTTGAAATTACGCGAAGAAGTGATAAACTAGAGGATAGACAGCAAGTCAACACCGCCCACCACCAACTCTTGGGCTACTCTTTTACCAACTAATAGTGGGATTAACATTATAACGCTCCCATGGCTGAAAGGGTGAGCATGTTCGGTGACCAGGATTAGAACCCGGGACCAATCGCACTAACCACCAAGCCATGCCAGACCTGTCATGGGTTTGACTTACTAGCGCTGACCTCATAAACGATGAGGATATATATATATGGTGATTTTTCAACTTTCTAATAACATTTGTTTGCTTTTTTTTTCATAATATAAATTCATTAACCTTTTCCATGCATAAAATATTTACTAACTAATTAGGATTTACACAGTTTTAAACATTTTGTCCATACTACTACAAGTCGACCATTGGGGTAGACTACGCGATTCATGATCGTGACACATACAAAGTACAGAAACACACACTCTGATCTGTAGATCTGCTTATGGGATTGGTCACTCACTCTGAGATAACGGCGCCATGTAGGTGACGTTACTTTTACAGACGAAGTCGTCGGCCGATCATTGATGTGTCCTCCACGATTTCCGGTCGGTCTGGGTATCTGTCGAAAAGAAAGGACTGGCCGACAAGTGCGGAGCTTTTAAGGTTAAAGTAAACATAGCGACCGGTCATAACGGGAATGTCACTTCATATTCTTGTTTTCTTATTCCTGTGAAGCAAGCGGTGTTTATACTCAGTATCCTTGACGATTAGTAATAACAGTCCATCAATGTACACACTCACTACGGCCACCGTTTCTATGGCTACTACTCAATACCCTTGACGATTAGTAACAACAGTGCATCTATAGACTCGTTACAACCACCGTTTCTGTGACTGCTGCTGAATAAATGATACTAAATACCCTTGATGATTAGTAACAACAGTGCATACTTGTATACAAATAGAGGGAAACAAGCGGATGGTTCAGTTCCCGTTTGAAAATATTAAAGTTTTTGTATCTTGTATAAGTACGTTTTGATGAACTAGTTTCATAATGTAAGAGCAACTCTCCAGTCTAAAACTACATAATCAAAACTATAAACATTATTTTACCGTTGAATATAAAATGCTAAAAGCCTAAGCGATAGCTAAAAATCAATAATAAACCATTAACTAAATTAAGTTTCCATTATGAGTTATGTTAAAATTCAAACACAATTTCTATAATAAAACAACTAAAATTCCCCAATTTCCTAAAATTATAATACATACGATTAAAATATTAAAACTAAATAAGTATAAATTACACAAATGTAGGGTTATCTTTGTACATCAAACAATATCTACTTGTATATACAAAAACATTTTACTATTTATAATGAATACTAAACACCTTCTAGAATTTAATTTAGTTTTACCCATTCCCATTTAATTACGTTTTAAGTCGGAAAATTAATATTCGTACAATAACCTATTTTTGTGTATGTTTACAAGTCCAGAATGGGAAAGCATAAGAACCGATTTTAAGCAATATTAATGATGGTTACGACATAGTTCAACATTTTCTGTTTTTAACACAGATTTTTTTTTAAGAACTTGATAAACCTCAGAGTTTGATGGAAGAAAAAATATAAAAAGAACAATACGGCAACATTTAATTTATTGTTTATTATAGTGACTGCTGAAAAAAGTGCTGAATATATATGATAATAAGTTGGTTAGACTATCATTCTTAGAAGTGAATCCTTTATCTACCTATGGCAGTGTAAAATCAGTTACAGTTTAGACTGAACGTTTTTCATAATTTGTCCTGTTCATATCGCAGGTTACAGTAGTAATTATTCTTAGGTTCACGTGTGCTAAAATCGACATACAATACATTAAGAGCCCTATAAATAAACCTCATGTGGGTCAGTACGCTTTTTAGGAACCATGGTCATATAAAGACTCTATATGTGCGTTTACTCCGCCTCCAAGTACAGTTTTGGAAAACAAGTTATTCAATCTTATTGGTCAGCAAAACTTTAATCATCTTTTTATTAATTAAATGGGAAACGAACTTCGGAAATGAAACAAATTTATTAATAACTGCCATAGCTATTGTTTCTGTGTTGTATTCTCTGTGGCGCCCTCCCTCGTGAAATTTGAAGTAGATGCTAAATAAACATTTTTTTTTCAGACCAAAGTGATTTATTTATTTTTTAGTACAAAAACAAGATTTATGGTCTACTTTCAAGTAAGTGTTATCGACAATAAATTAAATAATAAACACGAAATAGAAACAAATAAATATTTATAAGTCATAGCTTTTAACTGTTTCTCATATGTTGGTTAGAAATACTTGTTATACGTCACAATTTTTACAAAATAATACTACAATGCTTCTTCCCGACTGTTAAATGTATGCACTTTTTGACGAGTACGTGTTCCGAACTGATTATTCTATGAGGAAGAAAAAGGACCCTGTCCTTGAGTTTACGGCCTGAACTAGATACTACTTAAAAACCCGACAATAGTAGCTTCCTTGCAGTTCTAGGGTGTGTGCACTTGAAAACTTGCCAGCCTTGTGCCTTCATCCAAAAGGCAATGTTACAATCAACAAATCAAATTTTTTTCCGTCGTAATTGTCGAAAAGCAAAAACATGCAGATTGAATCTGACTTTTTGACAATACTTCATCTACCAAATTAAACGTTATGTGCGAAGTGGTATATAATAACCCAAACAAATAAAATATTTATAACAGTCTTTATTTAACTCAAGACTCTAGTGATGTAATGCTCACCGAAGAAGAAACCTTCTATTAAATCAGTGATTCTGAACCAGTGGGCCGTCGAGTGCCGGGACTGCCCTAAACTAACGAGTCATCAACTGCATATGTGGGTGGGCCTTTACTATTGTGCCATATAAGAAACCTTCTATTAGAAAATCGATCGTCAGAACTTAATAGTTGAATAGCATTGAGATAAAATTCCAGCATTGAAATATCAAATAAAAATGACCAATTTCTTGGGTAAAGAACTATATCGTACCGGTCACGCCAACTAGAAAAGATTCGTGCCGAAATAATTTTATGTGGTTCCTTGAAAACTGTAATTCAAGGGAGGGTGTTATTAGGCCCTTCAAGTTACTAAGTTTTATAACTTTCTCTGAAGATGTTATTATTTCCTAGCGGGACTTTAACCATTTAGATATATGCCACTTTATCACGTGACCACCTCACTGATTTCTTCTGTGTTTTTAAAATATAATGATACTATAGTCTCTAAATAAGCAAGATTATTATGAAATATGCCACTATAGACCATATTAGGGCTACTTCCTAAAAGACTGTATCTTACACAATAAATGAGTGATTTTACCCTATTATTTTGGTTCCCAAAATATAGTTCCCAGTGTAAACGTCAGAGACACTGGATGTAATTTTTAACATTATCTTCATATCTAACCGATCAGTCTCATCTCAGTAAAGGTTGAAAATTAGAGAAAAATATCAAGAAAATTATCTGTAGCATGCTTAGAAATGGACCACGGTTTTGGAAACTAAAATACTCACTAGTTTACACTGATTTTAATAAATACGAGTGAAAATTGTATGCCACTGTCGAATATCAACAATCCTTTCAATATTACATGTGTTCCTCATCCACCAACCATGTAATTATGAGCAATGTATAAAATTCATAGAAGTTAACCACTAAAATCTTATGGTTATAAAAGAGAAAATAAATTAATACATAAAGTAAAACCTATAACGTAGAGTTGAGCAGTGATAAACCAGGCTCAATGTTGGTGCAATACAACCTTTTGGTAAACCTTTTAGCGTTTAATCTTTTATAAGATTTACTGGAGCGGTCAATGACACTATAGTTTGTAAAAGATACAAGATTCGACAACCCTAATGATGCTTACTTGTTGCTTAGCAACACGTACGATCGATAGACTTAGAGCTCCAAGAGCATCACTGAGCATGCGTAGTTAAAAAATATTTCAGGGCGGTGATACCGTTGATCTGAATATAACAACTATTAAAAATAAAATTTCTGAAAATTAAATAAAATAGCTGGTTAATAATTTTATACTTAAATATAACTTAAGTTAATAGTTATAACCCCTAGAGGGCGTGCCCGCATTTTGTTAACAGTGTTTGTTAAGACTTAAGTAGGCTTACGTTATACATGTGTGTAAACAACATGTAAAATATAAGATTCAGTGTGAAAATAAATAAATGTATAACCACGCATGCAAAGAAAATAGGATTAAAGGTGGATATACACTGTGAAGTTAATATTTCTACAAACACTTGATTCCTCAATGAAATGGTAACTCACCACAACTTGAACTTCTGAAAAAGACAATCTTGACCTTCTCTGGTTAGTGGGCCGCGCTTCACACACTGATAACACCAAGGTCAAATAAACAAACAGGGATACTAGCCATTTTAGAGAAGACACTCGTATCACTTTAACGGTGTGAGTTATTCCTGTTCTAAACAGCGACGTATGGCGCGTTGGGCACCTGTCATCGACTATACAAAATGTGCCCGACATTCGCCACACGGCAAGGCCTCTTCCTCCTCTGGAGTAGAGTTCAGCCATAGCGGTGGTTTTACGTAAGCCTTTGCCGGCAAAGATTATCAGGTTTCTTCGGTATTCTTTCTTGTTAACCCTATTGCATTAACGGTGTACTAGCACATGAGTCAGTTTCATGCAGGCGAGCTCGGGCTAACAGAGTTTACGAAGTGAAGTCTTTTCGCTGTGTTGTAGTCGTACCTCACTGGATATGCGTGTGATGTGTGCTTGTCATGACTATGAGAGGAAGTTAGCGCAGGAACTAGTACTGCTACGAAACGCTGCTAGCAATAGGTCGGTCCCCGCCAGTCTACAGTTGTTTTCTAGTAAACACAGTTTTTTATACTCTCGATATTTTAATCTCGGGCGACTTTGTTGTAAGTGTCATTATTTTCCTTTGCTAAAAAGGATTATATGTATAATGGTGATGAAATGTATTGTAGAAAACATACAAAAACACATCCCTGAATTACAACTTCGGAAGTTATGCAATAATTGTTTCGAAAATTTACTGTGCGTACAAAGAATTATTAGCAAAGAATATTCAAAGAAACCGATACAATTACACATAAAGGAAACAAAATATTCAATGCTCAAACGTTTAAACTTGAAGAGAAGGAACAAACATTATGGACCAATTAAAAAAGCGAAACACTGGCATATGTGAATAATGAAAAAACAACAACAACCCGAGTAATTAATATTAAAATAACATTTGTTTTTGTTGTTAAGTGCAAAGCTACACAGTGGGCTATTTGTGATGTGCCCACTATGGGTATTGAAAACCGATTTTTAGCGTTATAAGCCCTCTGACTTGCCGCTGAACCACTGGGGCAAAAAATAACGAAACAGTTACAAACACACTGAGGAGAGAAAACAAAAAAAAATGCATAGATTTACTGAAAAGGATCAGATATTATCTTCACATTTCAAACAGGTTTTAACTACATACTTTCCAAATCAAAAGATAACATACCCGTATTGTTGAAAACAAAATACTCTTTCGGAGTCAAACGATAATATATTGTTGTTTTTTGGCGCAAATGGGTTGTGTGCGCTCTGACTATTGCGGGAAATGCTGACCCATTGTGGGACCAAACGATAACATACCTTGTTGCTGTAAATACACTCTTTCCTAGTCAAACGATAATAAACCTTGTTGCTGCAAAACTGTTCTTTCAGTCAAAAGACAATAAAACATTTGTGGTAGGCATACATTTTCCGAGTTAAAATACGATAAAACTTATTATTTTGAACATAGTCTTTCTGAATCAAAAATAGTGAACTTTATTTTTATAAATATACTTTTTTTTCAATTTAAAGTACAAAAACATCTTTGTTGTAAACATACTCTGAGTTCGTAAGATTGTTGTTTGTTTTAGAGCTGTGAATCGAACTTGGGATTTTGGCGTAAAATGTCCGTTAGTTTACCCTTGTCTCACTAGGTGAAGAGTTCACAAGAAAATAAGATTATTGTTGCAAATCCACCCTTTTCTTGTCAAAGACAATCAAACATATTGTTACAAATCTAACCTTGCCGATTCAAAGGATAATGAAACTTTATCTCTCTTTTTCTGACAGATTTTATTCTCTAATTTTTATATTCTTTTGTTTGTTTCGAATTTCGGACAAAGCTACTCGAGGGTTATCTGCGCTGCTCGTCTCTAATTTAGCAGTGATAGACTAGAGGAAAGGCAGCTAGTCAACACCACCCACCACCAACTCTTGGACTACTCTTTTTACTAACGAATATTGGAAACGACTTTATATTCTGTAATAACATCTGTATGCTATTGTTTTACATTTTATGTTGGATATCTTTGTATTTGTTAACGTTTTCGAAAAAAAGTGCGGAAAAAAGATAAAACAATGGCAAACTATACAATACAGAGAAACGTAATGGTTTTAACATTTAGCACACCATGCCTATCTCATGATGAATTCTATAATCTTTGTCGTTATGATTACTTTATAGAATATACATAGTTTATAATTTTCGATACTACCAGAAATATCCTTAAACTTCACATACAGAAAGTCAATTATGTGACTTTGATATCACTACCACGTAGTTAAATAATAATAATATCTTTTTTCCACACATGTACTCTACAAATAGAAAAATAAAATAACGAATCAGTGAAAATAATCTTATACATACTATTGTATGGCTCTTAAGATTACAGTGCCAACGTCCAAATTACAAGAGACAAGCATGATAAAACAAAGTTATCGTACATTACCTTGTTGACTTTACTAATTATTTATCATGTTTAAATATATATATACCCAACATCGAGGTTCAGTTTTTATTGTAACCATAAGAAAAAAAAAGAGCGTTTCCCGTATAAAACAAAGTACACGTGGATAAGAAAGACGCACACAGCAGTGGTGATACATTCATTATGAGAGTTAACCTATTCTTGAAATTATAATTTAAGGTTTGGAGCAGATATGGATGCTCATATCTACATCTAAAACTACCATTCACTTTGTGCAGCCTGAAGAGCACTGTAATAATAATTAAAAAAAAAACGGAATAGTAATATATCGTCCAAGAATTTGTAACAAAAATCAGTAAACTGTAGATGTTTCAGAGATTCTTTTGCCTCTCACTGCTCGACCTGATTGATGAGTTCTAGTATTGAACAATAGGCTACTTGCATAGCGACTTGTGGGTGAATCGTGACTGGTCTGAAATGATATGTTTATGTGCCTCTGATTTTGAGTCCTAAAATTGACAAATTAACAGGAATATGAAAAAACAAAAACATCTGCACATAACGTGATTTTTATCACAAATTTTAGGTCTATTGGTTTCTAATGCTTAGACAGATTTCGGTGTTTAATCTGGAATACAGAACTTTTCCTAAGGATTTATTTCAACTGCAAACTATATTTTAACTTCATCATTATTAATATACGATGCTTTATTGCATCTCATATGTACAGGTCTAGTAACAAATGATCCGAAAACATGAAGAATATTCTAGTAAATACATATAATCTTAAGTATGTTTTTTTTTTTATATTTACCCACTTGAACTTGCTTATATTTTTACAGGTGAACAATTTGTGGTCAACTGAACATTAGGAAAACCTCTGTCGGGATATTTAGAATATTAACCTATTTTGATACTTTACCTTAAATGAAAATTACAGAATAGCTTGTCTGAAAAACTTATTCTACCCAAAATAAATGATATAGATTTTTAGTGCTGTTGTTAAAAAGTTGACATAATCTCTTATAAATTCGACATTCTTAGTGATAACAAAAATTGCAGTGATGATACTTATTCATCCAATCTACACTGACGCTAAATACTAAAATAAGAGTTTTAAAAATGCATTATCGTTTTATTACAAATAATAGCCCCCCCCCCCCCTGGTTGCACAGTGGTATTTCTACGGACTTATACCGGGTTTCGATACTCGTGGTGGGCAGAGCACAGACAGCCCTTTGTGAGGGTTCGTGTAGTCAGTACTGTCTACGGCAAGAAAGGCCTTGTTCACTGAGAGGTCATGTAACACTACATACATTGTGTGTTTATTCAGTTATTGTTACTGGATGGTAGAGGGGTTCGTGTAGTCAGTACTGTCTGCGGCAAGAAAGGCCTTGTTCACTGAGAGGTCATGTAACACTACATACATTGTGTGTTTATTCAGTTATTGTGACTGGATGGTAGAGGGTTCGTGTAGTCAGTACTGTCTGCGGCAAGAAAGGCCTTGTTCATTGATAAATAATAGTTTTCGTGGTTTAAAATTTATAAGGTAAGAAGTTACACAATAGTTATGTTTATCTTCTTTATCAGGCCACCCAGTGGCTCAGCGGTAATTATGAAGGCTTATAACGCTAAAAATCGGGTTTCAATACACATCGTGGCCGTAACACAGATAGCCTGTTGTATAGCTTTGCATTTAATGACGAAACAAACCAACACATATTTATGACACATTACAGTTCCTTAGTTATATCTAATAGCGAATAAATTACTTGATATTTTAATCTCAGGATAACCTAATAAATTCAGATTATATCAGCTGATTAGATTAGCGCCTGACTTGAGTAACACGAAACTTCTCAAGAGAAAATGAAAAATAGTTCAAATGTCAGAACTTTTACGCTACTAATTCTAGTTAGCAAATTTCCAAAACGGTCACATTATTATGAAGCGCTCTTCTACAATTTCATACTGATAAATTGTCTGGCGTGCCCACCCTACATCCGTTTTAACCAGAGTTAGATAAGACATTGTTCACGGATTTTCGCAATGACGTAAACTTTTGTCTTGAGAGGAGGGGCTATTTTTCAAATTAGCGGATTTTTCTAAATTCCGATAGTTTAGTCACACACGGTTTCCATTAACTGGTAAGATTAAAACCTCTAAGGAAAATTCGTTTCCTGTTTGTTGAACAAAGACGTAGATAGTGTTGTTACTAATACTCTATGACCCAGTCTCTTTTCTTTACATATTAGAATTAATAGCAAACATATCCATAAAACTGCATGATTTCATAAAAATAGTACTTAACTTTCTGTTTGCTCAAATATCTTTAATACATACACGTAAATAATCTAAAATTCTACGACAATAAACAGATTTATACACAATAAAATAATAATAATTCTACTACCCCACCAAAAAAACACTCTTCTGAAAATAGTTTTATCTGCGTTTCCTCAAGAGACTATTATATATTTTATCCAAAGGTCACTTATAGATACAAATAAAAGCAACTTATATTTTGGTCTCTGTGTATTTTAACACCAGAGTGTGTTCGTAGGGTATATTTTTTTATTGATTCTATGTGAATTCAATGCATAAGTTGATTGTTTAATTAGATAAATTTTCATAAAACACTTTGAATAACCAATCAGTTGGTTGATATATATATATATACATTGCCGACTAATGTAATTGGTGGGATTCGATTACAAAACAGAATAATTATCGGGCATTAAATCTTCAACAGACGATGGCAAAACATTTACGAAAGTCAAATGAAAAAGAAAACAAAAGCGGACCCTTTCAGCAAAGTTCACACCTTTTCTGTAGAATTCACAAGACAACTACAGAGAATTGTAAAAAAAACCGCATGATTTCATGCTCACGCCCACGTTGGTCACTCGAACACGTCATCAATGGGTATATTCTTACTATGTTTTTTTTTTTCAGTTATATTTTACTTCAACGGATTTCCATGGCCACACCAGAGTCGACCTTAACTTACAAAAACTATGACTCAAGAAGT